AAGCAAAACCCAGAAGTGGTACACAGTGTACCACTTCATAACATAGTGTTTAATTAGCAAACAGTGATCTTTCTGAGAGAGAGCATTTGCACTGCTCATTACAGTCCTCTCATCAAAAACAGACAAGCCTCCCTGTACCTGTAATTCAGAATTTGAAACATCTGACCTTATTTGGAGTATATTTTTCACTAGCACAAACTCCTTCTTGAAGGCAAATACTGCCTAGAATGTCACACGGAAACACCTTCTTGGTCACAGTGTGTAAAACCACTGGTAGTCAGTCGTAGCGCTCCCTAAACCCATCTGTGCTATTCTGTGAAAGCACTGCCACCTTGAATTTAATTTCTGCAATTGGCAGGTGGGGTGGGAGAAACTGCTCTCAGTTTCTCTTACTATTCTCTTGCTGCTTCCAAATTTTTTTACTCAGAAAAAAAAGGAGAAAATCTCAGGCTTGGTACCTCAGCTCAAGCAGACATTTGATATCTCTTTCAGCGACTATTAGATATCTCTTTCACTGACATTAAGGGGAGATTTCCTGAAATCCTTTACAGGGATTGGACGTACCCCTGAGCTGCAAAATGCCAGCATCAGCTCCTCTCTGGCCTTTGGCAAGTGTCTTCAGTGGTTTAAGGTTAAAAGTCACGTTTCAGAGACTGGAACATGAGGCTATTATATTCCCCTGGGACAGTGCTCGCTAGACTCTGTGGGACTAAGCATGGGATGCTGAGAGATGTTGCAAATGTGCACAAGGGCTTACGGTGATGGAGCAAAATGCCAGGGAATACATGTAAGTGTGCCCAGACTTAAGAAATGTTGTGAAATCTTTTCAAGGTGACGCAAGTCATGCAAGGAAGATTGTTGCATCATAAACACTCCAGTGGAGAAAATCAATGCAGCAAACAAAAGGCTCCCACCCTTCAATTACCCCAAAAGGACAGCCAGTGATTTATTGAAATCTAGTCAAGAGTTTGTTACAGAAGATACTCCTATATAGAAGATACTCCAAAATTATGATGATTGGGTAGTAAAACAAAAATCCTAATACACATATCAGCAGGCATTACAGTACTCCGAGCGCAGAAAAAGGACACAGTACTCAGAGTGCAGAAAAAGGACAGAAAACCCACAGGAGCAAGAGAGGAAGAGGTGAGGAATGATGCAGAAGGAAATGGGGTTAAATAGTGGGAAGACAGTCTAAGTTATTTCTTTCTGCTCCAAATACCTTTTCAAACTCAGAGATGTCAATGCTTTTCTATCCATATTCCTGAAGAAATCTTAAGGAGCCCACACAGTGGGAAGCTCCTTTGCACACCATTTCAGGTCTCAGGTGTGAGTTCCCTGGAACATCAGTGCTGCTCTGGCCAGCCCCACAGCACATCCAGTCAGCAGGCAGAGCTCCTGCCCCAGCACTGTATGGACAGGTCACAGCAGCAGAGACTCCCACGGATGCTACTGTTCTCCAAAGACTTTTTCAAGGAGTATGGAAAAAAGTACAGGTTTTTCTGTGGCTAAGTCTGTAGCACCTACAGCCAGTTACACTCTGTAGAGACCTAGTATCTGTGTCTCGTAAATGTGGAACCTTTAGTAATCCCTTTTATTGTCCCACAAACCAAAGTCTGAAAATGAAGGAACCACCATCAAAAATACTTTCAAATAATAAAGCAAAAAGTGAAGCAAGCTTTCCTGGGACAAAACCTTGAAATAGTCTCCCAAGAAAATCTCAGAAGTGTTCTTTGGCATTAAGTGATGAAATCTGTCAAAACACAGAATGCAGATAGCAGTGGGGCCAGAGGGGAAGGGGGTGGCAGTGCCATGATGCACAGTTGTCTCCTTCTGTTACCTCCCACTAGCAGAAGACAAACCTGAAAAGGCCTAGCTTGTCCTTCACAACTTCACAGAAATGCAACGCACTGTGCCGTAGCCATTGATCTGCTCCCCGTATGCAGGGTGCCTCTTGAACCACACAGCAAGAGGGATGGTTGGTGCCACAGATCTGAATATTGTTTGTCATTTTCATAGATTCAGGAGCAAACACACAGACAAACTCAAACATCCCCAACAGGATCCTCTTTGATTACATAGCAAGAGACCATTACAGGACGGTGTCAATATGGAACATCTAAATGATTCACACAAATGTAATTTTAATTATGGCAATAAAACAATCCATTAAAGATCAGCAGTGCAATGTTCATGTGATATAACAAGACAAAAAGCAGCAACTGAACACACAACAAAGTTAGGTCCTAACAGATAAATATAGGAAAGGACACCCCACATTTTCAGTTTACCATGATGTATCTTGGCACTATAGAAGAGCTGACGCACAGAACTATTTGCAGTGTCAGTAAAGTCTTGCAACATCTATTCAAGGCATAAATTAGTGATTCAAAGAGAGCAGATGCTTAGTTGTTGCATATCAGTGTAGCTTTAGTAGAAAGTCAACAGAACTACGTTAGATTATAGCAGCTGGTGACAGCATCTGAAAAAAGCATGGAGCTCCTAATTTGCTGTGTGGTTATTTGAGAACAATTCTGCAAAAGAAGTTGGAAGAAACAGGACTGCATTTTACTATTTGATTTAAACTCAAGAGGTTTTAAAAGTGGGACTATAAAACCAAAAAGCTGAGAAAACAAACTTTTGGCAATGACATTTGACCTGTACAGCAACAACTGCAAAGGAACTGCATTCCTTGTCCCGCACAAAAAGCAATAGGAATGATTAAGCTTTAAAACATGTAAATGTACGCACAAGAACACATATAATCATCCAAGAGCTCAGAACTATGTCAAGATCACAAATGTGTAAGGCAAATAAATACATTTAAAAGGTTCATCTGATACCATGTCAGGGAAGGTTCAAGGTGAGGTTATAACATTTCTAAAAGAGAGAGGATTCCCCTTTGCCAGCCAGTTGCAATGTTTCGTTTTCCCACAGCAATGGAGGTGAGCAGGGCAATGATGTAGCACGCACAAGGGCACCCACCCTGTCAGCAGACAGCAGTTAAAAGCAAACCTCTCAGCTCAGAAACTGGATTTTGCACCTGAGAATACGATTTGCATGAAATCCCTTCTGCACTGGAAAAAGGCAGTGTTGCAAACAGAACATTGCAGCCATGGCAACAAGCAATTCAGTATTTAAACTTTTTAACAGACTAAACAGGATTTTCTTTCTGTTTTTATAATTTCATGGTCAATAATTCACCATGTGCACTTTACATGTCTAGCTGTTCATTAATGTCTCAAAACCAATCTCCTGCTAAAGCTTCAACCGAGAAAACCTCCTCACTCAAAGAAAAATAAAAGTATGTGTATACAGGGAAAGCAGTTCAAAAATGAAACTTTTTTCTCTTCTTTCTGAAATTGGCATAGAAAGATGGAGAAGAGCCCAAGTTCTGGCCCATTAAATCAAGCACTAGACCTTTATTAGTACTGTACATCATTAAATGTTACAACCAGCAAACCAAAAGCATTAAAACTGATATTTAAAAAAACCTAACAATTTAGGCCTTGCAACAGTATCTCTAAGTAATGCCCAAACAGCACAGGAACTCCAGTGGGAAGTCTCCCTGACTCTTTCCATTGACTGTGAGGAATTTGTTTTTAAGTATTTTTATACTGCTATCAGCAAAAACTCATTTGAAAACTGAAATTGAAGGCTAAAAATGGGATAAAGCATTCTGTATGGCCGATGAAATTCAACCCTGTTAATTAGACAGCTTCATTTCACAGTCACTCAGAGTCTAATATTACCCTAATAAAAGTATGGGGTTTTGGGAAAGTGTCATGCATAAATGCAACTGAAATCGGGCCTTTTTTAACTTTTAAAGGCATTGAATTTAATATCTGCAATCTGTTTTCTCAAAGTCAAGAATCTGAGATTTTTAGAACCTACTGACTGAAACGTAAGGGCAATGGAAAAACTGCTGATCTCTCCCAAGTAGACTAAACAGTGTCCGCACGGATTTTAATGCTCAGCAAAGGTGCTAACCTTAATGAATTATCTTAGGTAGGTAGTTTGTTATCCAAAGCTTGCATTACCATTTCCTATCTCTTTATCATTTTTAAACTCCTTTACTGTGGTGAAAACAGTGAACATGAAGGAACCAGACAATACAGACCCTTTGAGAGCTTCAGGGGTCATCCTGCCTTCCTTGCCACATCAGGTAATTTAATTGCAGCATGACCCCACAACTCATGGATGCAGGCTTCGTTGACTGACCCTAGACGCTGGGTGTGAATTCAGATTTGCTAGCAACACATGCTGAGAAGCTCCATAAATGACAGTGAAGGACAGAGCATGAAACAGACACAGAAATGTGCTTACACATTCAGGAGGAGCAGGGACCTTCTCCAATACCTGTTTATTCTGATTATTTTGACAAGTAGCACTAATATCTATGGAGTTAATGTGCCATGTAAGAGACAGTTATTCAGCATTGTGATATTTTTTTTGTTTTAAGCTCCTCTAGTCACATAGTTATTCTCTATTGTTTTGTTTGTTTCAAAAAATTCTTTTTTAACTTCTCTCTCTCTAAATCACAAGCTGAGGAACTGGGGAAAATATAATCTCTTTTTCAACTTCTTAGAGCTTCTGGGCTGTCTTGTGACCTGCCCGCCTGGATACTACACAATCACAGCCTGACCCTGCACTTCAGGGTTTACCAAGTGCTTTTTACAACGTTGATGGGGTTGGCGGGGAGGATAGTATGCAAGTGGAAGTGTGAAGAAAGCATGGAAGCAAAATCCATTTATAACTAAGAATTGCTAGTAAGAGGTGATTGGTGACCAGCCTACGGGGAAGAGTCTGGTGATCATGAGAGGTCATGCAACACTGATTATTAAGCCTTATACAAAAGGCAAATCAAACAGGTGTGTGACAAGGTGGACCTGGTAAAACATGGGGGATGTTGAAAGACTTGGGTTTTTTTGATAGGAGAAAGGAAAAACAACCTCCACGCTACACAAACAGGAAAAGCCACAGAAATATCCCATACTTACTTTTATCTTCCTGGTTTTCTTCTGCTGCTTTGCCCTCCTCTTCCTCCTCCTCCTCCTCCACCTCCTTCTGCTGTGCTTCTTCGTGGTGATCGGCGGCACCAACTGAAAGGCTCTGGCAGCAGTGGTTGAAGCCGCTATCCCGAGGCAGAGTGAAACTCCGGGGCTTTCCCCCATTCCCATTCAGCACTTGCATTCGCTCACCCTCCACGAGGGGGAAGGGGCCGTAGTGGTCTTGCAGGTGGCACTTCTGGGTGGGCAAGGTGGACTGCCGCCGGTGCTCGGGCGAGACCACGGCCACCTCGGAGAACACAGAGTCCTCCAGCGGCAGCGTCTGCAGGTAGTGGAGTCCTGAGCTCGTCAGCGGCGTCTCTATGAGGTCCTGCCAGGAGCGCCGCTGGCTCGCCGTCTTGCGCACATCGGTGGCGCTCCCCGCCGCCTCCGGGCGGAACTCCTCGTGCGACGACTGCGACTGGGAGGTCTCCGTGGATGAGAGCCGGCTGTGTTTTGGCTCCACATAAGGGCTTGTGCAGCTCATCTGCAACGTCAGCAGTGGAGCAATCTTCAGATCAGTGTACACCAACACCTAGTGCTCATAATAACCATGGACTTTTCATTGCCACTGACACCACCCAGTTCAGTAACTAAGGCATAATCTTACCGGATTAACCCACCCTGATCCTAACTTTAAGGCATGCCCATATCTACATGTCACACCTGTAGGTCAAACACCGATTCTTATTCATAATAGTAAAGATACCAGTATCTTTACTGTGTTCCTTAGTCTATAAAATAAGCCAACACAATTATTTGCAGTAAAATTGGAAGACTATAGCACTATGGAAGACATAGAAGAGATGTGCCCCGTCCATTAAAAATCTTAAAAATGCTATCCAAATGCCTGTTGTCATCCTATCTTGCTAAGAATTTCTTTGGAATCAAGTCTGCAGTGCTTTGGTGCAATTCAAAGATCTGTGGTCTGGGAAGATAAAGTATTGCATTCAAATTAAACAACATGACCAATTCCTTTACCCTGACTTTCCCAATTTTTCATTCCAAATTTTTGCATTTTAAAAACTATATTCAGGTAAAGTGCATTAGTTAATACTGTGTATATGGAGATAAAAATTAAAATTGCCAGTGCAGAACAAGTTAGAAGTCCATACTCTGGTTTATACCAACAACTGCTTCAAGAAGAAAGTAAAACAAATCCCCTTGTCTTCCAATTTAGAGAAACCTACTTTTTCACAACAACAGAACAACTGGTATCACTATTTGTGGTATAAGACAGAACATTTATATGTTGGCATTTCTCTGGAAATTCAAGTGTAATTTGTCACTGTAAAGCTTCACAGCACAACTGTTGGAGCCTTAGAGAAGAGTCTGTGTTGTTACTGAGGTAATAAGATTTTGTCAGAGAAGTCGATAAGGGGGTGGTGAGGGATTGCATGGGTGAGTAGGTGTCCATCATGAATGAAGAACAGGAAAAAAGAATTCTGCAACTTAATCTACTTCGTACAGTGAGTGGGATTATAAATCCATGTTCTCAGCAGACCAGTTGAAGTTAGGCTGTTGGAGGCTGTTAAGTTAGCAATGCATGTAACTGAACAAATGCAGGTACTGACTCAAAAAATATACTAGAGTGTGCCACAGTGTGTGCATGCAGATACTTCTAGGCAGAAGAGTACATAAAGGTGACATTTTATCTAGTGATCCCCGTAGACAGTTGCAGGTGACTTACCGAAGGAGGCCGTGGATATGTGTCGTACGGGGGTGGTGGGCTGTCTTGTTTGGGTGTTGACGGAGTGTCAGCTTCCTCCTTATCGCTCTCACTCCAATAATCTAGAAATTGCATACAGATCAGATCAAGAACTACCAACACAATTTGGTACATTTGTGTATCAGAGACTTGCTTTCACAAAACCATCCTTGGTATTACGAAGTTGAATACTAGTGAATGCTGACTCTGTAAATGTTAGCTGCTATTAACTGGAATTGTTTTAATCTAATCTAATCTAAATTCAAAATGTTACGTGGTATACTAAATTTAATCCCCCGTTGCAGATATTAAACAACAACCTGCAAATGAGCCACACATTTAACTCTTGTACACATCTTATAAAACACAACATGCATACAGAATACTCCTAATAAAAGTATCAGATTTTCAAATATTTATACAGCCACAAAAATAATTATGACTGGACATATATTGGCTGAAAAATACTGAAAGTATTTTTTAAACAGAAAGGATTGTAACTTGCTAAAGTCTTGTCTACCGCAAATAACATTAATAAATATAATTAGCACCAAGTGGCAAATCAAACAAGTGGAGGTTACTGCACACATGAATAATCAATGCTATTTTTCTACCCATTTTCTCCATTGTATGCTACCCATTACCCAAGCTTTTAAATTCAATTTCTAATAACGAACAGCTTCTTTTAAGATAAGGCAGAAAAACTTCTTTCCATGTATCTGCTTCGTAAAACAACTGCTGCCCTGTTATCCATGCAAGATCATAAGGGAGATATAGTAAGGAAAAGTATGATAATGATATTGAAGTGCAGAGTTCCCAAAGATGGATGAAAAACTACAAAGGACGCAGATCTTGCGGGTTAAATTTACCAGGATGAGGTTCCATTTTGTCATGAAATAAAGTCTTGACCAAGCCCATTTTATATGTTTGGTAGCTTGGTCAAAGGGCAAAACATGTAGACAAATGTACCACATGGGAATTTATATTTATTCTGTTGCAAATATTTTTGAAGCAGAAGAGCATCTAACTAAATGGACACTGGACTTTAATATGCCTTCAAAAAGAAAACTGCCAACTCTGAAGTTACCAAAACAGGTAACTTTAACATTTCTACACCTTGTAAAACTTATGCAAACATTTATGTTGTCACCTTCTAGTATTTGGTAAATCATTATACAACAGGACACTTTAGCTCAGGCTATTCACAGACTAACCACAGGCAATTTTCACTTTGCCTAGTAAGTGTTCAATGAACTACTTTACTTAACTTACTACTTTCTCTTTGATAGATGGGGAGAAAAAGATTGATTGCTGCTTCATAAACAATCTAAGCTAAAAATCCAAGCTGGCACAACATATGATTTTGGCTTTAAGGATTTTTTGTTGCTGTGATGATTATTGTATTGTACGATAAATGACCTACTGTACCTAATCTTATTAAAGATTTAAAAAAAACCCCTTACCTTTAAATAACACCATCTTGAAACAGCTGTCCCTATAATTTTGTATACATTTAGACTGCAAAAATGGCAGGGACAGCCTTATTTTTCCAAGCAGTAACAACTCCATTTTTACTCTGAGTCTTTTGATTTGCTTCCTTCAAGCTTATAGTTGAGAGATTCTCTTAAAATAGTATTATAAAAAAATAGCATAAAGAAAGCTTTCATGACTATGAAATAAAAAAAATTCAAACTGTTTTATCTCCAGGAATCTGCAAATAATTAATTTTTGGTGAATGAAAGACTAAATCAGTGAAAATTCTTTTTTAAAATCATTCTTAGTTTTTAAGAAAACTTGTTTCCAGCAGCTAAAACCACCAGAAAATATTGGCATATAAGCATGTTTGCTGTATTACAGCAAAGCCTAACAGCATGATGTGTGGTGAGAGGCCTGTCAGAATTGCATCACTCAGTGACATTACTGCAGACTTGGAGCTCAACTGTTTATTCTGAAAGTAAAATCTAGCAGCCTCAATACAGGTTCCAATTTTGGCTGAAAATACAAAGAGGTTCTTGCTGACAAATCCACATAACATAAACCACTGCATGATCATACCTTTGTGCACCTTATCTCAGACAAGGAATTATGTTGGCAACCTATGGCTTGTCTAGAAAAATTCTGCAGTCACAGGGGTCAATTTCCAGATGGAATGTATGAAAATAGCCTCACACCAGCTTTTAAAAATATTCTACTTTGGGCAATTGACTCATTAGTCTAAAATGTGTATAATGCTATCAAACAGTTACTGTATTTCTCTCTTTAGATTTTGTCCAATTCAGAGATGGACAAGCTCCATGCATTGGACATACCCTGAAAGGTTTCTGAATGAGCAATAGACTCACTAGCAATAAACTAACACTGACCTGCCATTTGCTGATTAAGTATTTTCTCTTTATATAAGCTAGTATTTTTTCTCTGATTTTATATGACTGTAAAGTATGCAACTTCTCCATCCAAGGCAGTCTCTTGCCATATTGCTAACATTCACTGTATTTAATATGGAAACTTGATGGTATTTTTATAAAACTGTTCTGTACAGAATGTAACATTTTATTCAGCAGTACACCCACAACTTGGTGATTTGTGCATCTCTGAAGCACCTGAAATATATTTATGCACTTTAGATTCAGAACCATTCAACTCTTAATTGAAACAGGTTTGACAACTACTGTTGAATTGCTTCAGAGGTATTATAAAGCTTTGCTGCAAAGGGCTGAACTGAGCAGAAATAAAAGACCTTTTGTAAAATCAAATATGTAGATGACAGTTGGTACAGTCACTGAATATAGAAAATTTCAGCTTCCCAGTTTTTACAGTTGCAAAAATCTAAGTGACAGAGAGGTATTACTTTGATAACTTGATGCCTCTCTTAATTAGGGACACTACTGAGCTGTTTAATAGCCCTTGTGCTGGGAGCAAAGGATAATCACCAGAGGCACAGAAGTACTGTACAGCTGCAAGGAGGGAATGTGATACTGCTTCCCACACTAAACACAACTAAGCAACACAAAGAGGATATAGTTTTACCTACCTGTATGTGATAAATTAATTTGAGTGAATGGCATTAGAGTGGTAATAAGGAGCTCTGTCAGTGCCCGGGATATAATTTCCATTGTAAATAGGGTCTCACTGATTATCTTCAACAGGGAGACATTTTAATAACAGGTAACATGAGGCCTGGATGCGCATGATCTCATGTCCAGCAGCTGAATTATCTGCTATTTTATTACTCAGTGATTGCCTGGTAGCAAAAATATTTCTCCACGTCCATCTGGATTTTGAAAGGTGTATCATGTCTGTAATTATGTACTTGGACAGCGTTAGCATAACTGTTCACACACCTTTTCCCTTACTATCCCACATATTATTGTAATTCGAGTGCCAACCTGCTGTCAATAAGAGTTTGAAATTGGCTTTGAATACTAACACAGAGGATTTCCTAGAAGACTCCAAGATTCAGAGTTTGTTCACAGTCTCTTCAAGCAGTAACAGATGGTATACAGGTCCCTCCAAAACAGTTATTCTAGTGCTGCCTGGGGAGTACAGATTCCCAAACTCATTTTTAAGTCTGGTGAGGCACTAACAACATGACTGGAGGAACAGTAAGCGTAGTGCTGCTATCTTGGGCTGTGTGAATATGAAGGGTCTGGTGTTAGATGTGCCAAGGACCATACCAGACGAAAACAGGGTGTGGGCAACACTCCCAGGATAAGCAGCTGCACTTACTGGAAGATGAGATTAGAAATGAGGCAACACCAGGTACAACCTAGTTATGTGTGAGACCAAATGGCAAGACCAAAAACCTTCCCACGCATGCTGCTACCACTGGATTAGGGCAGTATGCTGTGAGCCACTGCTCTTCAACCAGAGGCCCATCCCTCTGGGATGCTCTGTGGTGAGACAATCAGGGTATGAATCAAGGCTGGCATAATTTTCAGATCTTTTAATCTTCTGCCACTACAGAATATCCTACTCTCTTGATGTTTCTAAGCTTTCTGGTGTCTGCTGCCAGGTACATTTGTGTCCTGGGTTCAGCTACAGCAGTCATTTTTTCTCCTTCTTAGTAGCTGGTGCAGTGCTGTGTTTTTGACTTTCAGTCTGGGAACAACGCTGATAACACCGATGTTTTTAGTTGTTGCTAAGTAATGTTTACTCTGACCAAGGACTTTCTCAGTCTCATGCTTTGCCAGAGAGGAGGGGAAGCCAGGAGGAAGCGGAGGCAGGACACCTGACCCAAACTGGCCAAAGGGGTATTCCATACCACAGCACGTCATGCCCAGTATATAAACTGGGGAGAGTTACCCGGAAGGCCCAGATCGCTGCTCGGGTCGGGCTGGGTATCGGTCGGCGGGTGGTGAGCGGTTGTGTCCTTTTCCCTTGTTATTCCTCTTATCATTATTACTGGTAGCAGTAGTGGTTTGTATTATACCTTAGTTACTGGAGAGCTGTTATCTCAACTCGTGGGAGTTACATTCCTTCGATTCTCCTCCCCATCCCTCCGGGAGCGGGGGGAGGAAGGAAAAGGGGGGGAGTGAGCGAGCGGCTGCGTGGTTCCAAGTTGCCGGCTGGGTTTGAACCACGACAATTTGTAAAAAAAGAGCACGGATTCCAAAGCCAGCTGCTTGCCAAAACAGCTAGTTGGATAGGGGCACTTCTGTGGATCCATGTCAGTGGCAGTTCTAGGAAACAATATCCCCAACACAATTGAGGACTGAGCCTTTCTTTTTCCTGTCTGAAAACAGGACTTCTACTGCAGCAAACTAAAGCAAAGCAATTCATTATTTTATATATGCCATTTTTTTAAACCCATGAAAATATTAGACATTAAAAATAAACAGATGTAAAATGATGAAAACCTGCAATTTCAAATAAATACCAGCAGGGCTTTAGCACACACCTCAGTACAGCAAAATGAGTAGAAATCATAAAAAAATGAAATGTCCTTAAAATTAAAGTCTTTAGGGCAAATCCAGTTTATGTCAACAGGATTTAGGAGAATGGTTTTGTTCCTGAGACCAATTTCATGCATTCTTGCCCCCTGTGAACTCAAACACCAAATGCAATGTTTAATTTTTTTTTTTTAGTTTGTAGATTCTTATGTTTCTTCTGACAGGGGACACAGACTCCTTGGCACCACATGCCAGAGCTTATCGACAGTACATTTGCTGCTTTTAGCTACCTTCTGCAGCCTTCTCAGAAATAATCCAGTCTGTGGACCAGAAACCGAAGGAGCTAATCAAAATCCCTGAGAAAGAAGGAATTCTCTAAAGCAACAACAGTGATAACCTGGTAAGTGAATTGCTTTCAGATGACAAGAATGAGGCCTGATATACAGCAGGGAAAAAAGAACAGATGAACTTGTGATAAGAGCTAACAGAAGAAACCAAAATAACAACACATTACCTTGCTCTTGTTTGATCCTCTCTCTTTCTGCATAGCCAGCAGCAAGCATGTTAATTCTGTTCAGCCACCTGAAATAATATTAAAAAAAGCAGTGATACTGATCCATCCTCTTAATTCTTGAGTGCATTTCTATAAAAAAACAAAGTTAGGCGCATCTGAAGGAGATTCAGGACAATTTTTTTGTCATTTTTCACATTAGACAGCTGCTTTCTTTGATACTCTTACTCAGGGAGTCTCCAAAGATCTATGATTCTGCTGTTGAACAAACTGTTTTCACAGCAAAGATTTTATTTCAAATGGAGAACCATGTATGATGTCAAACATCTGTAAAATAAAGGATTTGGAGATAATCAAAGAGCTGTTAAGTCTGCTGCTCACAGATATGCCATCACAACACTCCTGCTGTTCTGATTTCTTAAGAATAAATACCACTTCTCAGAGATTTAAGCAATATTTTAAAGCCTGAATTGGCAACTTAGCAGAGGAACAGAGCAGAAACCAGCAATAAAAGGAACAGGTTCACTCCCCAACAGTCGGTGAGGTTTAATTATACCATTATGTGTTTTAAAGCTTACCTACAATGCCAAGTACAAAAAGAAGGAGGCATATCAGAATTCACTTTTGTGTTCAAGTCATAGAAGTAGAGGGAGAAAAGACAGTTGCCTCAATGCAATTCACATCTAAGGCTTTAACCTCAATTTAGATTTGAAAAAAGGCTTCCGTAAGCTGCAAAAACTAAAAAAAACCCCAACCAACCAAACCCAAATAACCACAAAAAACCCCCAACTCCCACCCAAACTATTGCTATCCTCTTCTAGCAGGGCTGTCATTGCCAAACACACACTCGACTGCCTGTAGCAGTGCACTGCTTCAACCTGCCCTCTTCCCCCATGGGGCTATCAATGTATTGAAATTATCCAAATACTTAGACTAATCAGGTCTTCCATCAATGAGGCTTTAAACCACCATGACCATCTCCTGTGGTTGTCCATTCCATGGTAAATGTAGAATTACTTGGTCCAGTCTGGACAGGCCTGGTTTGTCAACCTACTGGCTTGCAACTTTACTGCTAGGGTATACAGAGGGACAACTGAAGTCAGGTTTGAGATTTTTCAGGAATGTGAAACCCCTGCTTCAGAAAACTGTGCCTGATGGGTTTCATTTGCATACTGTATGCATAGAAACAGGATGCAGTATTGCCTCAGCAAGGGATACACCTTTGTAATCAGTTCCACATGCCAGCCTTCAAGACATTTCAGTGCGGGGTTAAGCAGGCGTCAGATCATGAAATACAGTTGCTGTGTTCAAAATTAATTTCTGTCACTGTACTTTCACAATCTGACCACAAGTATGATCTGTAAATCACATTGATGGTCCATAAATCATTGCACGCACTGGGAAGAAAGCACACTGTACATTGGAAAGAGATTTACTCCTGAAGTGATTACACAATACTTCATATTAGCATACAGTCAAAAGTTCTGCCAGAAGCATAGGGAAGTTGAAGAAAAGACTTTAGGTTTCAGTTGTAATTGTTAGGAAGTGCCATGCACTTACAGAAATAAGTGGCACATAGGAAGAGAAATCCAACAAATCATGTTTCAGGCGACGACTCCGCATCTTCACAGCAGAAAGGTGACCCATACAAAGCTATCTTTTAGCTTTGCATTCCTGATAAGTGAAGGCTTTCTTTGGGGAATAAAGCTCAGCTATTCTGACAGCTCTGCCAGCCCAAATCAGAAGCACTGAGGCATGAACCTCACTCACAGCACTTTGGCCCCATGCTGCCAAGGGACCAGCAAAGGCCACAGACTTGTCTGTGTCCAAAGGGTAAGGCAGCACAAGAAGACAAGCGCCTGCTCTGTAAAATGGCGTGACAGACAGTAGAGGTCTGTCATGACAGACAGCGGAGGTCTGCCATGCTTGCCTCTTGCCTATTCTGCATTTCACATTCCCCATTTGGCTCATGGCTTACCACCCCCCAGTGCAGCCAGCAGGGAACAGTCCCCTACTTCAGCCCCTTTGGATGGGGCTGCTGGCCCCAAAGTACTAGATGATACACCTAACAACATTCTCCTGTCGGAAAACTTCATTCGGTCCTAAATATGAGACAGCATTTCATGTTAATTTGCATGACAGTGAGGTTACCAATTAAATCAACAAACACATAATTGACGGTCAATTGATACTGCTTACAGCTATGGCAGATGGTAGTTTCCAGAAAAATGTTATTTTCTGAAAAGTATAATCTAATGAGAATGCAGCAAATATTTAGCAGTCTGAGACAGAGACAGCAGACTGACTCCACATTTCATGATTTTTTGCAGGTCATGACCTGTGTCACAGTTTGCAGTATCACCTGCAATGCCTGTGGGCTGAACAAGAAGGTACTGATGTGGCTCTAAACCATTAACAACCATGGCTTTTGAGCAGTTTGCCAGTTTAGAAACTAAAAGAATGGTATTGACTTCTGCATATATTCTGGTATGTGGATGCTAAAGCTTCTTCAGATGTGGTTAGAAAGGGTATGGTTAAAGAATTAATATTATTTTAATAAAACATGGCTAGAATTACAGTTCATTGAAGCTAGAATCCTATGAGAAATCCACCACACTGGGCTGGTATCACAGGGAAATGTAAAGATCTCCGGCAGAATGGAAGAGGAGTAAAACATGCCCTCTTTACAATGCACGGGGGACAAAAGTTCCAAGCATAGTTATACAAATATTCCTCACTATGAATATGAAAAGATATAGAACTGTAGGACACGGGAAGTTTAAATCCTTCTTCCCTGCGGTGTGCTGTGTCCTGGAAGCCACTGTAACTTTTAGAGGGCAAGAGGGCAAGAAAATATTCCTTCCTTACTGCAATTGCAGCTTTAATTTTCTTGTCAGAACTATAAAATCTGTTTGTTAGGTATGACAATAAATACAGTGGCACTGGTAATTGCCACAGTCATCTTGGTTTCTCTTTTTTTTTTCCCTTCTTTTTAAGAACAGCACATACATTTCTTGTCAGTATTTAACTAAAACAATTTTATGACACATGGAACAGGATTAAACCCCCCCAGTAGTTCTGTAAAGAAGAATGCACAGTACTGGCACTCTCAGAGAATAGAAAGCGACATTTTTCTATCCTATCTCATGCTGTAGGTAGATGCAATGCTTTTAGTCAAAGCGGAATGTCAAATTGTCTGTAATCATAAAGCTCAAGGATATAGGACAAACTTGCTTTATGGGATTATGGAAAACTTACTGTGTCTATAACTACCCAACTGCAGTTTAACTGGAATGAAGAAGCCTGTGGAATTTTTAGAGGCCTTCTGCACTGAAACGTTCCAGAGACAGTCTCATGTGCTAATACTAAAAGCTGACTTGTCATCTTTCCTCTCGATCATGAAGCACCACTAAGGAAGAAAACTCTTATAAATGTCAATACTCAATGTCACAAAAAGAGAAAGAGGACAGCTACAGCTACAGCTCAGCTACATTTCTCAGACAAATATTCCACATGAAGTTACTGACTGTATTTCCCTGCCTTAAAAGGTATAATTTTGGTAGCCATATATGTCATCACTTAAAAAAATAGACAGTTTGGCATAAAAAGGAAGAAAAAGTATTGTAAGTATTTAAGTCAGCCAAGCCTGAAAAGGATGCATTTTGCTCTGAGCTGATGATCAGGATTTTTTAATAAAGAACAAATACTTGGTCCATAAAGCAGCAGGAACAGTTACCATGGAAAATCAAAATAAAATCAAAATAAAGTTACATACAGTATCATCAAGTAAAAATATATGGACTGCCTTCTCTATCAGAATATTTTCTTGGAATAGGAATAACAATGAATTTTCAAGCAAGATGTTTCTATGACTATACAGTTACACTAGCAAAAGAGCACCTTGCATCAATAAGGGATATTCTGTTCTTCTTTTCACCCAGACCAAGCATGTTATATGCTGGTGCAACCATGAAGATGAAAGGAACTTCAGACAGCACAACAATAAAGTTCAGTGATCATAGTTCTCCAGGCTCCTTACCAGCATAATGGTGCGGCACAGTCATAAAAGTAGTGAGAAAATTTGAATAGTGACAGAATTACCTGAGATTAAAATACCCATTTTATGAGGATACACACAAACAAAAACCCCATATCCTGCAAACACTTAAAAAAATCCCCAAACAAACACAACAGCTAAATCATTTCATACAAGGGATGAAGGAATTGAACCATTTTGAACTTTCAATTATATTATGTATTAGCAGTTTTCTACTTTTGTTTCTTCTGCTTCAAGGATAAACACGACTGAAATGACTGCATGATACATACTAGAATATATGTCAGAAACTCGACAAAAAAAAAGAACAGAAGGTGATCAAAACAGTCTGAATTTGACTCAATAACTTGATTCTGTCTTTGACTTCAGCTAGGTTACAAAATGCTTTTAGGCAAGAAGTATTTTATGTCTGCATTTGAAAGATTATTTTTCAGTAACCTACTTTTTTTTTCCAATATATTGAGTTAACTCAATGTTTGTGAAAGTGAAAACCTTTTTCTAATACATTAAACAAAGAGGAAAAATATATTTGGTGAGGCTCTAACGGCAACTCAGATGTAATAATGTCAAGTAATTCCATAGACCTTGACAGAGTTGGTTTAAATTTACATGTGTATAACTCAGATCAAAATCTAGTCAAGCCCATTCTAAATGAATTAATGAGCAGTTATTTCAAAATTTGATAAAAAGACTATTTGTGTTGGGAAGATAAAAATCTTTTAGTTCTTGGGTTTTAGATCTTGCAATATATTTTTAAATAGATGATGCATATTTGTTGTTCTTTTCTGATTACTGAACAGTACATGATTTTTTATCCATAGAAACAAGGTGCCTTGTCATACTGACTGAGGACCTGCAGAGAGAAATCATTTATCTACTGCTGTAGTTCGGGCTATACTGAATAGACCGTGTCATTATTTTGTTTGCTGTGCAGCGAATTACATTTTGAGTGACTGGCTTGACAGAATTATCGAGGACAGGCAAGCTTAAAACTTTATAAACAAATAGAAAGGTTTAAGTTTTCTGAGGAGAGACTTTTGAAGTGAGCCTTAGTCATGCATGAACATTTGAAGAAATGCTAACAGACAGCTATTTATAAATGAAAGCAAGCATACTGTAGTATTGGCGTACTTTTCCAGTCAAATATTATCAGTAAAGAACTGGCAGTACCCTGAAGGTCCTCTGCCAGGTAAGCTGAATCTAGTACACACAGGAGAGATTAAACCATGACTATAGAACTTACTAACAGTTTTATGGGTTGAGTTTTCTCTGATTTGTCCTCTATTTTAAAAGCAATTTTGCTCAGCAAGGATGTCCACAGACATTATCTAAGATGGAACAATTCCCAGCTTGCAATAATAGATTTTCGTTTGTGTCCTCTATCACAGGATATGCCACCTCTGGATAGGTGTATTCTTCTATCCAGGATAGGTGGCATTCTTTGCTGGGTTGGAAACTGGCTGGATGGCTGAGCCCAAAGAGTGGTGGTTAATGGCATCACATCTAGTTGGCAACCAGTCACTAGCGGTGTCCCTCAGGGCTTGCTGTTAGGGCCAATATTGTTTAAGATCTTCATTGATGATCTGGATGAGGGAATTGAGTGCACCCTCTGTAAATTTGCAGAGGACACCAAGTTGGGCAGGAGTGTTGATCTCCTGGAGGATAGGAAGGATCTGCAGAGGGATCTGGACAGGCTGGATTGATGGGCTGTGGCCAGTGGTATGAGGTTCAACAACACAAAGTGCTGGGTCCTGCATTTGGGCCACAACAACCCCATGGAAAACTACAGGCTGGAGGAAGAGCTGATGGAAAGCGGCTTGGCAAAAAAGGACCTGAGGTGCTGATTGGTGGCCACTGAACATGAGCCAGCATGTGCCCAGGCAGCCAAGAAGGCCAACAGCATCCTGGCCTGCATCAGAAATAGCGTGGCCAGCAGGGCTAGGGCAGTGATCATCCCCCTGCAATGGGCACTGGTGAGGCTGCACCTTAAATCCTGTGTTCAGTTTTGAGCACCTCACTACAAGAGAGACATTGAGGTGCTGGAGCAGGTCCAGAGAAGGGCAAGGACCTGGAGAACAAGTCTGATGAGGAAAGGCTGAGGGAACTGGGGTTGTTTAGTCTGGAGAAGAGAAAGCTCAGCAAAGACCTTATTGCTGTCTACAACTTCCTGAAAGGAGGCCGCAGTGAGGTGGGAGTTGGTCTATTCTCCCAGGTCGGTCTCTTCTCCCTCTTCTCCTTCTCCCAGATAGAACAAGAGGATATGACCTCAAACTGCGCCAGGGGAGGTTTAGGTGGGATATTAGAAAAAATTTCTTCACAGAAAGAGTGATCAGACATTGGAACGGGCTGCCGAGGGCAGTGGTGGAATCACCGTCCCTGGAAGTGTTCAAAAACTGTGTAGATGAGGCCATCAGTGACACAGTTTAGTGGTGGTCTTGGCAGTCCTGGGGTAATGGTTGGACTTGGTCTTAAAGGTCTTTTGTAACCTACTTGATTCTATGATGTATTATTCTGAACTGAACTAATTTCAGGCTATGTTGTGCAAATAAATGAAATAAACTCCCAAATATTTGAATAGAATCACAGAATCACAGAATCAACTAGGTTGGAAAAGACCTTCAAGATCATCAAGTCCAACCACTGCCACCACTAAACTATGCCACTCAGGGCCTCATCCACCCATTTTCTGAACACTTCCAGGACAGTGACTCCATCACTTCTCTGGGAAGCCTGTTCCAATGCCCGACAAACCTTTCAGGGAAGAAATTGTTCCTAATACCCAATTTAAACCTTCTCTGGCACAGTTTGAGGCCATTGCCTCTTGTCCAATTGCTTGTTGCTTGGGAGAAGAGACCCTCACCTTGCTCCATCCTCCTTTCAGGTATTTGTAGAGAGTGATAAGGTGCCCCCCTGAGCCTTCTCCAGACTAAACAACCCCAGGTCCCTCAGCTGTTCCTTGTTCTCCAGACCCTTCACCAGCTTCATTGACCTTCTCTGGACCTCTTGCAGTGAGGGGCCCAGAACTGAACACAGGATTTGAGGTGCAGCCTCATTACACTGTTTTCCTCAGAAAAGCATAGCAAATTCCCCAAGAAATCCCCCAAGTTCTTTACCCTCGCGTGCTGTATGGAAAATCAAAAATGCAGCAGCTGGAGAGAAGAGCCAAATCAATGACCATGTCACCATGTGCAGTGTGGTTACTCAGCCATCTGTTGCTACAGGCTAGTAATGATAACCAATGGCAAAACAAAAAAACA